ATGGCAAGCACACTGCACATGTAACAATGAAATGGCCATGTCTGAACATCAAAGGGGACTAATCCTTAAAAAGTTTAAGGGGGTCTGTGGTCAGTCAGGGTACCATTACACTCAGTCAATAGATTGAATCAATTCTAGTCTATGGGCTTGGCCACGAAACTTAAGAATTAGATCCTATCAGAGTCCAGGGACTAAGCCGTAGTCACTGCTGTGAGTCAAGTTCAGTGAATCTGAGACAAGAACAAAGTTGCTGGAAAAGCTCAACAGGTCTGGCAGCATCTGTGAAGGAAAAAAACAGAGTTAATGTTTCGGGTCTGGTGACCCTTCCTCAGCGAATCTGAGAATTGTCAACAGGCTATTTGGGGAGCTGCTGAGCAATCCGTGCAGGAGCTGGGTCCTATCTACACCTGTTGACCCTTGATTTGTCTGACTAACAGGAGTTTTATCTACCTTAGTCTTAAATATATTCAATGACACTTAGTCCTCAAGTGTCAGATACTTGTGTTTCTTCCTTTCTGACCTGTGGCAATGTTAGTGATGTTTTCATCAGATTGTGCTTCCGAGTCTAATCTAGAAAATAACCCATTAAGGTGATAGTTTGAGGCAGAGTTGAAACTGCAGGTAAGAGCCTTGCTAGTCCCTGCATTCTCTGAGGGCTGTGTGCGATTTTCTCCGAGGTAGAGATGAGAGTCTCTGGCATTTTGCCGAGAGTCTGAGAGAAGCTGAGAGCCTTTTGGAAGAGGTTTGTTGGTGTCATAAGTGACTGCATAAGAGGAGAGAGAATTGGTTGTGTAAGAGGGATAAAGGCTTCTAGAGACTAAGAATGAGTTAGCATCAGTGGTAAATAGGAGAGCAGCACAGCGCAATGAATCTTATTGGGTTGGTTGCTCTTGGACATTTCTGTATTCCCTCATGACTAGTCATGCTTTTCTTTAGTCAAATCCAACATCTTTTCCTTAAATGGTGTTAGCAGCTTTGTGTCCACCGTACCATCCTACTTGTCTTTGAGATATTAAATTAATTGTGAGACATTGTTTTTCCCACAGTGAGACAAAAGGAGGGAGCGCATCTTGTGAAGGGTCCTGACCCGCAATGTCAACTTTCCTGCTCCTCTGATGCTGCCTGGCCTGTTGTGTTCCTCCAATTCCACACTTGTTATCTTTGACTCCAGCATGGGCAGTTCTTATTATCTCTGAGACAAAAGGAGGGTTGAGATTGATAGAAATGGTCAGAGGATCCTTTAATAGTGATGCAGGGGTGAGCAAAATGGTGAAATATCCCCAGTGATTGAGTAGGAAGTGACAGAGGGTGGAAAAAGTTAGTAGTTTGGGAGGTTCAGGTGGAGAGCCATTGAGTGGACATGCTGCATACAATAGTGAGAGTTGTGTGCAATGGCAGAGTTAGAGTAAGTGCTGGCCTTATGAGTGTGAGATAGCAGAAAGAAGATGGTGTCATTTACCTTTATTGACCACTGAAGATCATTAATCTTCTTCCTACACTTCTGGATATGCTGCTTAACCCAGGACGTAGTGCTGATCCAAGCTACTGTTTCTTTCCATGCTGGCTAAGTGCAGTAGCCTCCTTTGCCCGTAGCACAAAAAACAGAGCTCTGCCTGCCTTTCCACCACACTGTCCACCAGCACCTCCAAGTCCTTGTTGGCAAACCAAGAAGCTAGCGTATCTTTCTGGTCCATTCCCTTTGGGAAAATGATGCAGGATCACAGTGTAAAGAGCATTTCCTAGTTGGAAGCATCTGAAGTGCTGTGAAGTTGGGATTCTAGTATGGTGACAGTGCTGTGAAGCAGTAGTGAGCACGTATCCCATGAGTCTGGTGCTGAGGAGACCAGTGTGTAAATAATGAGGTGAGGAGTGGATTACTACAAGAGAGAGGTCTCCAAGGATGATTGCGGATCAGCTGCCATGAATCTCACTTGAAAATATACCGCTAGAAAATGGGAGCATTCAGCCCAGTATTGTATCTTTTGGCAAATAACACCAGTTATCAGAAAACTATTTTTCTGACTTCACAAGGGATGCTAAGCAATTAAGGATTTTTTTTTCTAGTAATATGCCCTTTTAAAAATATAGACACTTGTTCTATGGTTTTAGTTTGATAATTGGCCAATAAACTAAAACCTTTTCAAACTGCATGTTTCTCATTTGAAGATAGGTGTCATACTCAGTTCAAACTGCTAATTTTATCTTTTTACTATTCTTTTAAAACTGATACACAGATATCAAATTGCATTTGTTGCATTTAAATCGACACAATAACTTAAGACGAGACTCTTAAGCATCTATAGGTCATTTAAGTCAAACCCAGATCTCACAAGCAGCTGCCCTGTTAATTGGTTTGGTAGCAGAAATGTTTTTAAAAGACAGCTAAGGCAAAATCATAACTCTTAACTTCAAACCAATATAGTATGCTTAAAAATTAGCAGCTCTGAAACTTTTAAATTTGTCTTACAAGATTCTTGCTGCGTGCAGCTACTTGCATCTGCTGATGAAACCTTTCTCCTGCCTGGTATCCTTTAATAACTATATTTCACACAAATTTTGTCATTGTACAAATGTAAGGCAGACCATTCTGATTGTGGACTAATATGCCATTTTCTTTTTCTGTCATTGTGCTCAGAGTGATTTTGGGATCATCCTGATTCATCTAAGTAAGATAATCTCGGATTATTGTAACTGAGGTAAAAAGTGGATTTTGATCTAAGGGAAGCACTGTGGCCAATGGTGTGATTGCAGTGTACAAACTTAGAAGAAACAGTCAACGATCTGACAAACTTGTGACACTGCTAATAGAGAGTCATTGTGGAAACCTCATGTTTAAATGTATAAATGGGATGGTGTTTAATTCTTTCTCAATTTTGGTAACATTAAATTAAGATTCCATATAGCTGCTTTACTGCTGTGCTGTGAACAGACACCAAAAATAAAAAAAAATTGTTCATGAGATCCTGCTTTTAGATCTTTTCGCACACAATTTAGAAATCTTTACAATATCTCATTCTGAAAAATGACTTGGCACAGCGATCACACTCTCGCATCTGAGTTAGAGGATTTGTGTTAATGCCCTACTTCTTCAACCAGAAGACTTCAATGTAAAATTTAAACTGATACTTCAGTGCAGCAACATCAGTGCCACCTTTTTGGAAGACCAAAATTCTGTATGTTCTCTCAGATAGAAGTAGAAGAATCCACTAAACTAGATTAAGAACTGCAGAGGTATGTTCTTATTGACTTGGCAATATCAAGCCATTGACCTCTTCAGGTCGCAAGTCCTGTTCCAGCAGATGATAGTTCTGTGATGGTATACTGGAATATTCGCAGTCACAATCTGTGAAAACAATGCGCTTTGTTCATCTGCAGAAAATAGCATTGTGGACAATTGACTGCAGGTCTCCCGTACTGCCTCCAAATCCTGAAAGGACCTTCAACTGTGACTGCTGCATGTGGAGACTGCAGAGCAGTCATTGAAAGTTGGTATAGGTCCTGGTCTTGCTAGTGTATCTGTTTCTCCTCAATTTGTTTACACCATCTTCGAACTATGGCCACTGCGAAGATGACCCCCTCCTATGGGTTAATCCATTTGTCATGGTTCCGATGCATCTATGTGGCGAATAAAAGAAACAGAGCAAGTTCTTGATAATCTGAGCATTCAATATCTGTCTAAGAAAGTTATTTAGGGTTGAAGCTAAGTGAAAATTAAGATCAAGGTTGACAATTTCAGGGGCTTTATCAGTCTTGAGAACAGAGCAATTACATTTCATGCTACTGCATGATCAAAACTTTGTTCCATTAGACAACTAACATGTGAAAGCCTGCACCTCTGTTTAGTATTGGAATTAAGGACCCAAATATTTTCACGTAAGTTGTTCTATAATTGATGTGAAATTGAAGGGTTCAGCTAGGAAAACTGTTGCATGAAATCACCAGCCTTTGAACCCCAGTCGGGACTAAATTTGGAGATTCCATGAAATAGTTGTCCTTAATACCCTTTATTCTTGCATTCTGAAGGTGGAACTTATAAATAATTTGCTGTACTGGCACCTTGAACTGGTTCCATAAAGTGAAAGGAAAGGCGATTTAGGATAATCCATCGATCCATAGAATCCCTGCAGTGTTGAAACAGGCCCTTTGGCCCAACAAGTCCACACCGACCCTCAGAGCATCCCACCCAGACCCATTCCCCGAACCCACGTAGCCTACACATCCCTGAACACTACAGCAATTTAGCATGGCCAATCTGCCTAGCCTGCACGTCTTTGGACAATGGGAGGAAACTGGAGGTCCTGGAGGAAACCTGTGCAGACACTGGGAGAATGTGCCAACTCCACACAGACAGTTGCCTGAGGGGGAATTGAACCTGGGCCCCTGGTGCTGTGAGGCAGCAGTGCTAACCAGTGAGCCACTGTGCTGCCCCCAAATGTATAATCATTTCTGCTGTAACATTCAGATTTGAGCATCTGGCACTATTTGTATTGGTTTCATTGATATTTACAGCCTAATGAAAAGTCTTGCCAGTTTTTTAACATGTTTTGAAGTTCATCACTGGATGTTGGTACTGCAGACCACATCTAGTCATCCTGAGAAACAGGTGATAAACTGCATTCTTGAACAATTTTTGTAGCAGTTTGGTATAACTGACAGCCTTATGGGCTTAATGGCCTCCTTCTGTGCCTTATCATTCTAAGATTCAATTACCTAGTTTTTGTAGTATACTTCAAAGGAATGTCAAGTGTCATTTACGTTAGTCTGAAATCACATGCAGACCAGAAGGGTAAGGGTTGATAGATTGCCATTCAGAAAAGTTCAGGTTGACTTTTAGCTTTTTTTCATTTTCAGCTCTTTTCGTTGAATACAGAGTCTCAAATGGCCTCTTGATTACTAACTTCATAATATAATGTCTATGCTATTGCACTTGTATGTGAATTAATTGTAAAATCAAATACACTAGTTTTTATTAGCATTATGACATTTCATTTTTCTTTTAGGGTTCTCCCAGCTCCACTGATGACATTCCAATTACAACACAGCTTTATCAAAGCAGCCAGTAAGTACAGAACTTTGCATTACTAGAATAATGGAACTCAGCAGAGTTATTACAGCAGATACTGTCATGACCATTTTAACCCCATATCTATTTTGATAAAACTGGAGTGTGTGTTTAGCATGAGTAGATTATGCAGGATATAAAATTCTGTTGGTCAATTATTTTTGATGCATCAAGTAGGCCGCTGTAGTTTACACGCAAATTTGTAAATACAATACAGATTGACGATTGAATCTGTGATTTTCCCAATGTGTAAAATTACTGATTGTATAAAGCCAGTAAGACATTTAATAAGCTTTGCAGCATCAGAAAGAGGAGATATCCTTCAGAATGAGACACAGCCTGAGTGTTTATATAGTTTGGGGAATTTGGAGGCAATATGGGGATTCAGTGCAGAGGGGAAGAGGTGCTTTCTGTTTGCTATTTTTGGCTCCTAGTTTGTAAGATTTTTTAAAAACAGAATAAACTGAAACCCGGACCAAAGGCCCAGCACAAAAGAGTGACATCACTGGTAAACTGTAAGTTCATTGGTGGTGACAGGTATTAATTTGACTTTCTATTATAGGTTACTTTCAGATTGAAGGTAAATTGGGGAAATATTCACAGGCTACAAGCTAAAAGACCAGTACAATTGTTTTCTTTTAAAATTCAAATTAAGAACTAAGTATTTAAAATAGAGATGCCAGGCCAAGCAATGTGCTGTAACTGCATGATGTGAAAGCTGAAGTCCCCACATTGCCTCATAGTGCCCACATCTATAGCAAGTGTTGGTTGCTTAAGGAACTCTGGCTCAGAATTAATGAGCTGGACTCTGAGCTTCGAATACTGCAATACATCAGGCAGGAGGAGAGTCACCTGAATGATATGTTTCAGGACACAGTCGCACCCCTTGCATTAACTACCTCAAATTCATTCGGTGATCAGGGACAGGAGGGTGTCACTGCTAGTGAGGCAAGTAGATGGATCCAAGAGGTAGTGCTGAAGGAATCTCAGCCCTCAAGCTTGTCTAAGTGGATGAGAGTGGGGGCTGTAGAGAGGATGAGCAAACTGTGGTAGAGGGAGCAATTCAAGTGGGGGAGAATAGAGAAATGTAGGAATAATCAGAGCATATTTGGGGGAGTAGACACTGTTCTCTGTGACCAGAATTAAGAATCCTGAATCCTGTTGCCTGCCTGGTGTTCGAGTTCAGGATATCTCATCAGGGCTGCAGAGGAACTTGGAAGTTCCCGTTGTCCTGGTCCAAGTAGATACCAAAAATTTAGGTAGAAAGAAGAAAGACGTTCTGCTGAAGGGAATAAGAGCAGCCAGGGACTAAATTAAAAATGAGAACCAAAAAGGCAATTGTCTCCAGATTATTGCCTGAGCCATGAGCAAATTGGCATAGGGTCAGCAAGACTAAAGAGTTAAATGCATGTCTCAAAGATTGGTGTGAGAGAAAATGTAGTCTGCAGTTCTGTTTTTTTTTCCATTGAAGTGGACAACATCACATTAATTCATATAATACTGCATGTGCCATGTTTTTTCTACCTCAAATTATAACTCTGAAGCCTCTTCATGTTCTATTCACCACTCACTCTCCCACCTAGCTTTGTGTTCTCAGCAAACTTGGAAAGTTTACACTTTATTCCCTTATTCAAATCATTGATTATACGTTGTGAATAGCTGGGGTCCATGTTCTGATTCCTGTAGTACCCAATTCCTAAAATTACCCATGTATTCATTCTCTCTGTGGTCTGTCTAACCAATTCTCAATCCATGCCAGTATATTACACCAATCTCACGTGTTTTGATTTTGCACAATAACCTCTTATGACAGACTTTATCAAAAGCTTTCTGAAAATCCAAATATACTTCATCCACTGGTTCTCCTTCACCTATAATATTAGTTTTGTTCTCAAAAAAAACAAGTTCCCCTTCATAAATCCATGTTGACTTTGTGTAATACCTTTGTTTTATTTAAGAGTCCTGTTATCATAGCCATTATAATAGATTTCAGGATTTTCCCTACGCCTGATATTAGTTTGACCAGTCTGTAATTCCCAGTTTTCTCTCTCCCTCCCTTTTTTAAAACAATAGATTTACATTTGCCACCCTCCAAGCTGCTGGGTATGTTCAAAAATCTATAGAAGTTTGGAAGATGATGACCAACATTACCACTATTTTCATAGTCAGCACTGGTAATGGAGTGGGATGTATCAGCTTTCAGTCCCTTTAATTTCTGTAGTTTTTGTTTTTCTCACTGATACTAATTAAATTTAAACTAATGAAACTTAAATTCCTCCTTACCAAAATGTAGCACTTCTAGGAAGTTTTTGTGTCTTCAATTAATTAATTGCTCTCCAATTTCCTTGTTCTTCATTATCAGTTCTCCTGTTTCAGATTGTAAGGGGCCTAAATTTGCCTGCAGTAATCATTTTCTTTTTACAAACTGTTTTGAAGCTTTTACAGTCTGTTTTAAGTTCCTTACAAATTTGCCCTCATACTCTATTTTTTCCCTTTTAATCTCCCTATTGCTCCACTGCTGAATTCTAAACTAAAAGTCCTCAGGCTTGCTACTTTTTCAAGCAAGTTTAGATGATTTCTCTATCCTTAATTTACTTTCTCAATCATTGTTGGGCCACAAGTTAACCAGCTTATTACAGCTAATTCACCCTTTTCATACCTTCATAGTTTTCTTACTTTATATTTAGGACTTGAGTTTAGAATGGTCTAGTTCTCTTTCTATCCCAGTGAAGAGTTCTACCGCATTGTGGTCACTTTGTCCTAAAGCACCTCTCACGACAAGATTATTAGTTAATCTCTGCAGCTAAATTGATTCCAAAATGGACTGTTCTAAAAATTAATCTTGCGCTGTCTAGGAATTCATCTGCCACAGTATTATTGCAAATATGGTTTGCCCAATATATATGTAGATTAAAATTACCCATGATTACAAAAGCATCCTTGTTACATGTAAATCCAATTACCTGCTTAATGACAACCTCAATCTCGCCACTACTTTTTGATTTGATTGATTTATTGTCACGTTTAGTGAAGTATACAGTGAAAAGCTTTGTTAATGAGCAGTACAAGCAGATCATAGTAAGCAAAGATGTAAGGATCAAAAAGTCTTAGACAAGGCATACAGGTTACACATGCACAGGATCTGTGCTAGGCAAGGTCAACCTTAGCAATATCTGCATTATTTGAGGCTAGAGAGTCCATTCATCAATCTAATAATGGCTGGGAAGAAGCTGTTCCTGAACCTGCTCATGCATTTGTTCAGGCTTCTGTATCTTCTGCCTGGTAGCCCATGGATCGCTGCCACAAATGTTTTCTGCTTTCTGTGTTTTTTAGTTCCTCCCAGACTGATTCCGCATCGAAATTTCCTGTGGCAATATCCTTTCTCACAATTGCACTGATCTCATCTCACACTGACAATGCTACCCACCTCCTTTCCATTTTGCTTTTACTTCCTAAAGATTGAATACCCTTGGATGTTCCGTTCCCAGCCTTGATTATCCTCAGTCATGCCTTCATATACATTATATATATTGCAATTATATTGCACCCATGGAGAATTATTTACACTGTTCATTTGTCTTCCTTATTGCAAAAGCTCTGTGCCTTCAGATGTATTACCCTCAGACTTCTCTTTATAACATTTTTACACATGCCTTTTGTACTCCAGCGTTATTTGTTGTTCATCACTGCTTCTACTTTTACTTTTTATTTTTCTGTCTTACATTTCCATTATATTTTCCCTCATTTTTGTCTCTCTGATCGTTCTCCCATCCCTTTGCTACTGTCATTTAAACTCTCCCCCATTGTAGTAGTGAATGGTCCTGTGAGGATATTTGTTTCAATCCTGCTGAAGTGCAACCCATCCATCATATCATAGTCCAGTCTTCCCCAGCATCAGTCACAATAACTCAAGAATCCAAGTCCCTCCCTGCTACACAAACTCCAGCCAAACAGTCATTTGTTCTGTTCTCCTATTCCTGATCTCATTTTCACTGGGAACTGGGAGTGATCCTGTGATTACTATTTTTGAAGTCCGGCCTTATGATTTAATTCCTAGCTCCCTATTCTGTTTGCAAATCCTCATTCCTCATTTTCATCACGTCATTGGTATCATTGTGGACCATGACCTCGATTTTGCTCTCCCACCCCCTTTAGAATATCTTCTAGCTATATAGTGACCTCTTTGAACCGAGCGCTAAGTAAAGGAGGCAAAATAACACCCTGGTGTCACATCTGCAGCCGCAGAAAGTGTATGTTCCCTTTTCCGACAGAATCTCCTATCAATATTGCTCTTGTGTTCCTTTTCTCCCCCAACCCTCATGTTGCATTCCCCTGAGAAATCATCTCCTAGCAGTATCAAAAGCAAAAAATCTGTTAGACAAGAGATGGCTCCGGGAAACTCCTGTGCAACTACCTGGTGCTTTTACAGTGTCTGGTGGTGTTCCACTCCCATTTTTCCTGTGCACCACTTTGCTGTACATGCTATCCATGAAGACCTTAGCCTTGCTGATACTCCACTGTGAGTTTAGTTGCTACTTCAGATCAAAAGTAAGGATTTTCAGTGGCTGCAGCTTAATATACTTATTGCACCAGAAATTGCTGGAAAAGCTCAGCAGGTCCGGCAGCATTTGTGGAGAGAAATCAGAATTACTATTTTGGGTCCAGTGATCCTTCCTCAGAAGCTGCCAGAACTGCTGAGCTTTTCCAGCAGTCTTGTTTTTCTTTCCTGATTTCCAGCATCCATAGTTCTTTCGGTTTTAACTTAGTGCACATGTGATCACCTTGGGCAATGCAAGTATCCCTGACCTTCCACATACAAGGAGCATTTGACTTGGCCGAGCTGCTTTGCTATGGCTTACTCTTAAATTATCTGCTCAGATACTTACTCTTGTTTTAAGAATATTAAATATATACTAGGGTCCATACCTTGCCCGCTGTTCTTGGTGATGCTGACTATGTGACACGACGTCCTCCCATTGCTTGATCCTGTCCCCTCCTACCAGCATAAATATTCTTATGAAATTAAGCAAAGCTCCAGAATATTTGCTCAGTCTACATAGCCACAACTCTAGCCTGCTGCCTATAACTGACAAACCCTCTGTTCAACTTTGGATGGAAAGCAAACCATGATCAACACATCCATCTAATCCCTGTTCATTGACAGATATTTCTAGGTAGAAAATTACTCTGTTTACAGAGCTTTTGATCTCTCTTCACAGGTTTACCAGGCTGTTGCCTGGTTTGGAAGATTTTAGCTATGAGGAGAGATTGGATAAACTTGGTTTGTTTTCACTTGAATGTCAGACATTGTGGGGTGACCTGATAGAAGTTTACAAAATTATGAGAGGCTTGGATAGAATAGATAGTTGGAGTCTTTTTACCAGGGTGGAAATATCAATTACTAGGGGACAAAAGTTTAAGGTAAAAGTGTTAAAGTTTAAAGGAGATGTGAGAGGTAAGTTTTTTGCACAGAGATTAGTAAGTGCATGGAATGCCAGAGGAGGTGGTAGAAGCAAACATGATAGCAACGTTTAAGAGGCATCTTGCCAGATAAATGATTAGGCAGGGAATAGAGGGAAGCAGAATGTGTAGAGACAAAAGATTTTTAGTGTAGAAAGATGCCATGTGTTAGTGCAGTCTTGGAGGACCCATGGGCCTGTTCCTGTGCTATACTGTTCTTTGTTCTTTTCTGTTGAGTATAAATGGCATTTAGCAATTCTAGGCGTGCCACAGACAATTTCAATGTTCTTTATATTTTCTAAATGGTGACATAAAACCATAGACAAAATTTAGTTTTATGAAACCTATGTGAGCTGTAGTATTAGGCAAATTAATAATCCAACTAATTGTTTCAGAGGAGTGCTTGCATTTATTAACCGTTTCCATGCATTGAAATCCAGCTAACTTGAGAACTATTAAAGTGACAAATGAGTATTATAGTATTTTTTAAGTGGAAATACCAGTGTTAGTGTTGATGTAAATATTTTAATTCTGTTGTTACTTCTTACTAGAATTGGATCATCCAGAATCGAGACTGTCAGAGATTCACAAATATGTGCATCGGCTGCCAGAAAAGAACAGAGCCATGTTGGAAATAACAATCAAACATTTGGCAAAGTAAGACAAAGCTCCTCGTTTTATTTGATTAAGTAGAGCTTTAGTCTCAGTAAAATTTTCACTGATGTTTTCTTTACAAATGCATACATTCGTTTTTAGATAATTATTAAAGATAATAAAATGATGTTGTGAGTGTAACTTCTTTTGCTATTGTATCCTCTCAGGTGGCAAATCATGATTTTATGCCACCAGTTTGTAATGGTTTGTGTAATTTTGACAGAGTGGACCAATAAAGTCATGCTTGTCAACCTTTTTCTTGTGAGCAGCATATATCAATTTTTTTCACATTTAACAAGCTACTGAACAAAGTTGGAACAATAAGGTATTCATAAATTTATTTCATAATCAGAACTATGAAGTTTTTTTATGAACTGTCTTCAAGTAGAAGACGAATTTATGTGGCTACACCAAGTTGGTAGGTGATTCTGTCATTCTCTCTCATTCACTCACACCTGCCTCACCTGAGAGATTTGTAGATTAAAATAATTGAGGAGAAATTCAATATGCTACGAAGTTACCAAGATATGCTTTCCTTCAGCCCTGTTTAATACTTTGTCTGTCCCAGGTCATGCTGCCTCCAATTCCCATTCCCTATGGCATTGCCAATGCATTTTTACATCTTAACTCCTTGGAAGGTGGTGTTCAGATCAGAGAAATAGCCCGTGTTCCTACCTATTCTCCCCCACAACCAACGTCCTTTTTCCCCCTGTTTTTAATTGCAGACTGCTGCTCAAGAGAAGCAGCAGTGATGGAGGTGCAACCCTTTGCAGAAACTTCTACTTATTTCAATTTGGAATGTTACCACTCCAGCTGTATTCAAACACTTGATAGGTTGCATTCTGGCCTGTAAGCAATATGTTGGACAATGTGGAGTGAAACAATGTTAAATGGAGAGAAAAATCTGGGACCATTTCTTTTCATAGTAACTTATATGCTGGTTTTGAAAAATAGAGGAATGAATTGTATACTTCTTCACGTGCAAATATATGGGGAATGTTATGAGCAGGTACAAAACAAGGCTACAAAAAACTGTTGTTTACTTCATTTACAGCAAGTCACCTTGCTTTCACTCATTGTTTTATTCAACTAAATTCAAGGTGGAGAAAAGAGTTCCCTTGTGTTAATACTTCTGCATCAGATTCATTACACAATGATCAGAATTTTTTTTAAAAACCAGGTGCATTGTACAAAATTGTAAAACATCAGCACAGCAATTTAGTAGATTAACAAGTGTACTTTGATATCAGCTTTGTGAAAGGATGGCAGAAGGTCACATAGTCAGTAATAAAAAAAACTAATTGAAGTTTGCGAATCTGGAATTATGTTCCTCTGTCAAATTAATCAGCATGTGACATACTATTACAGTTGGGTCTAGATTATTTAAGATTCTAATAAATTGATCAATGTGGTGCTCCTGGACATTCAGCTCCCAGGGGAGATCTGCATCATGCATCTCTATCCTTGAGAGTCCACTGCCATTCTTGGCTGCATTTTAGTTTCTAGCTGCAATTTCATGGTCCTGGTTTGAAGTATATTTCATGCTTTCTGATCCAAGGTGGCCTCCAATTTTTCCATCATCTTTCTGCTCTTCTCATTCTGCTCATTCGGCACACTTCTTAGACGTTCATTCCCAATGCAATATTTTCATCAGTGCTTCGTTTGATGCTGTATCCCTGAAGTAACTTCTGAACTATCTCACCTGCTCCATCTCTCTTCAAACTTAAACAATGTTCTGTTAAGCGTCAAACTCATTCCACGCTCAAATTTTCAACTTTATCTCCCCGTATGACTTCTGAATTTAACCTTCGGCCCTCTTGTATCGTTTCATCTGTTACCTATTAACTATCATTTGCATTCTAATAACTTGTTTGTTAGCCTGTTGTTACCTGAGTTTTCTTGTCCATTCACATGTGTATTTTGGCTGCCATTCTGGAAGCAAGTCAGTTCTTTTTACACCTTTTTGAAGTCAGCTTTCTATAATTTCTTTGTGCCTGATCTACCTTTATTCTTCCTTTCATTTCACTCCCCTCTGGTACTCTACTTTCTAAATATCTACTTCAATTCTTCACTACTCCTCACATTTCCTAACCTCCTCCTGCTGTCCCAAGCTTTCCTCTCTCTTGAGTGACCTATGGGTTCCCTCTCTGCCTGTTTTGGAATTCTGAAAGGCCAATCAGGAAAATCATCGCTGCTCTCAGTACGCGCAGCAACCTCAAATGCTGTTTAATGTTATCTTGCTGACTTTCCTCAGCAGTATGCTAGCAGAGGACTAAACTTGCCAATTACCGCCTCTTCCAACTCAACCTAACTGTTCTAATGCTGACCATGTGGGTTCTTGTCAATAGATCAGATCTCACCATCCTTCACTTCTCTCTCCACATTGTGCTTTCACTCATGCACAAGGTCACTATGGGTTCATTGTTGATGATTCATCAATATTGTGGATTGAATAAAAACTTAGTCGAGGAGTGATGCCACTGACCTCTAATTGTAGCCTCCTATCTGCCAATTGCTTACACCACACACCTTACTCTGGTATTGTGGTGACAGTGTGACTCATCAGAAAATCACACCTTGGTCTAACCCTTCTGTTACTTTTTGCTCATTTGAGTATTTTAGCTTGTTCTACCCCTCTGAACCTCTGTCAGTTAAAATCCTTGTTCGCTTTCTTCTGCCCAACTATGCCACATGGCACATTTCTCACTAACTACCTGCATTGCTTTCGTCCCACAGTATCTACACAAGTATTGTCTCATATTTTGAGATTTCGACCTCCAGCTCATTTCATCATCATCCAGTTGCTCTTGAGGTTAGCCCCCTCCTATTCACCCTTAATCTCTCCCTCTACATAATCTTCCCAGTCCATATTCCCAGCCACCCCTTTTGCCTCATGTGGTCTTGCCATTTTCAGAGTAGCCGTCACAAATAAGGCCATTTCCCATTACTTTCTCGTACTGGTCTTTACCCACATCGTGCTTCACTAACCCTCTCCTACCTCCACCCTCAATGTGACTTATTTGTCTATCACTGCAAAATGCTGACATACTATTGATGTACAACTTCAAATTCAATATCTCAATTGCCCAACCTTGCCTGACCTTCTGGTCATCATGACATTTCTGCAACTGCCAGATTGCTCAACTGTATCCTCCTTTTCGATGCCCTGGATCCCATTTTTAAAAAAAATTATTTCGTCTCACCTTGGCTGATTCTCTTCATCTTAAGTCAGTGGGTCACAGATTTAAACAGATATGGCAGACAACCGCTCTAGCACTCCATTGTCAGATTTGGTAAGACCACCATGAACCCCTGTGAGGTCTTGTTCTCAACTTTGGAAATGACTAACTATTCCAGGGTTGTGATGTGGAGGTGCCGGTGTTGGACTGGGGTGGACAAAGTCAGAAATCACCCGACACCAGGTTATAGTCCAACAGGTTTGTTTGAAAACGCAAGCTTTCGGAGCCTCAGTCCTTCTCCCGTTTAAGATGGTCATTGCTTAACTCTCATGGCGTAACTATGTCTGAATTTTGTCGAGTTTTTATTACATGTGGACATGGACTGCTTTGTTATCTGAGGGATTGTGGATGGAACTGAACACTGCAAATAGCAGCAAACATGCTGACTACTGACTTTATAGTGGAGGAAAGGTTATTGTAACAGCAGCTGAAAATGATTAGACTGTGGTTGTTACCCTTATACTGTCCTTCAATGATATGAGGGTTGAGATGATTAGTTTGCAGTAATCACAACCATCTTCCTGTGTTAAGTATGAATCTGGTTGTTTGAGAGCTTTCCTCATTGGTGCCCATTCAGTCAAAATACTGTTATCAAGGGCTGTTGCTGTTGCGTCATTTTTGTAATTAAGGACATGCAATAGCCAGGAGATCCCTTTAATCTCGCTCTCTCTCATTCATGACATTCAAGGCTGATCTGATGTTGGCCTCACCACCACCATTCTACTGATTTCCCATAATCTTCAACCTCCTTCGCATTCAAGAATCTGTCCATCTCAAACTTAATGAATCAATAATGGGTGACATCATATTCTTCAAATGTGACTCCATCATTTTAGATTACTCCACAAGGAGAAACATCCTTTTGATTTCTACCCTGTCCATACTTCTCTGAATTCTGTGTTTTCATGTTGAAAGCAAGGCTTCAATGAGGTCTGCGGCTCAGTGTCCCTGGCAGAACCTGGTAAACGTTGGTGGGCTTGATCCTAAGTCAGTGCCAGGTGTTGGTAGCATTGAGGATCCCTACCATCAGTTCATTATTCAGTGTATGCAGATCACTTGAGGTGGAGGGGATTGATGGATGTGATTAGCTGGATGGTTTTGTCCTGTTTTTATGGGCAATAGTTGGACTTTGACATCTGCCCAACAAAGTAGAAAATTGTCTGTGTGTTAACAACTTAACTAGTGCCCTGGCTAGTTCTGAAACAGGAGGTTGGGACGACAGCTGGGATACCATTGGGACCAAAGGCCATAGACGTAAACTAATATGCTAGGCTGCTTCTTGATATTACATGGCATGATCAAATAGGCTGAAAACTGGCTTCTGTAAAGTTGAGTCCTCTGGGGGAGTCAAGATGCATTGTCCACAGGCACTTGAGGCTGGAGATCACTGTAAACACACTAGAGCTTCGTATTCCTCAAGGCTATGCAATTATTGAGAATGGCAATGTTCATGTTGCCTTCTCTTATATACTATATCCTATAATTATGTTGCAAAATCCTTTATAACTTTTGATCTGAGTTTTAATTTATTTATAGTTGAATCATAATTAAGATAATAATAACTTTGAAATAAAAACAAAGTGCTGGAGAAAGTCAGCGGGTTTGGCAGCATCTGTGGAGAGAGAAACAGAGCTGATGTTTCAAGACTGATATGACAATGTGCTCTGAAGAAGTTATGTTAGATTTGAAAGACTGGCTTTGTTTCTGTCTCTCCATAGATGCTGCCAGATATACTGAGCTTATAATTTCTACTTTCGTTTCAAATTTCCAGCATCTGCAGTTTGTGCATTATTTGACTGGTAATAACTTTTTTATTATCCAGTTTATACTTAAGTCATATAGGCAGTTGTCTGTGATACAAATACCAAAGAGAGCAGCGGTTCCAATATTGACTATAGGAACTCTTCTGTAGACTAGACTTATTTAAAGATATGTAGAGATCAACTGTTGTACAGCAGCTAGTCTTTGTCACCTAGTTAATAATGTACGAAAGCGGCACTTTCCCAGAATTTGCTTAACTATGTTTTAGGAAGCTGAGCTGCTAGCTCTGTTTTGTTTTGAGTAATTGTAATATTTTAGAATAATTTTGTAGGTCTGTCTTCAGTCAGTGAGTTCATTCTGTCTTGTTGCCCAGGGTGTCCAAAAATCACAAACAAAATCTGATGACTGTGGCAAACTTGGGTGTGGTGTTTGGACCAACTCTGCTTAGACCAAAGGAGGAAACTGTAGCAGCAATCATGGATATCAAATTCCAGAATATAGTTGTTGAAATTCTAATAGAAAACCACGAACAGGTAAGAGTTTCAGATGCTTTACTCAAATTCACTGCTTTACGAATATTCATGGTCCTTTACCATAGAATAGAATAGCACTTCATAGAAATAGATCGTTTGGCCCATTGTGTCTGTACTAGTGTTTTCTAAGAGCAAACCTGTTGGGCCCAACACTCAGTTCTTTTCCAATATGCCTGTGATTTTATTCTCTGTATTTACCAAATTACGTTTGAAAGCTTTGTATTGGATATGTTCCTCCCACCATGTTGGGGAGTTCATTCTAAATCCTATCCACTTGTTGTAAAAATAAGTTTTATCTCTTGTCATCTTTGGTTCTTTTGCCATCATCTTAAATCTGCATCCTCTTATTAGTAACCGTTCAAGCACTTAATAAAGATTTCTCTTTATTTTCTCTATCTAAACATTTCATGATATTAAGAAAGCTTTTATCCTTCTTTGCTGAATGGAGAACAATTCCCTTTTCTCTAGCCTATTTACATAACTTTAATAACTTCAATTATGCCTGAAATTAATTTAGTAAATCTCTTCTGTATGCTGTCCAAAACTTAATGATCTTTCTTGTGTATAGTACTCAATTTCAAACACGGCATTCTAATTGAGACTGAGCTAGTATCTTATTTATGTTCGGCTTAACTTCGTGGCTTTTGTTCTCTAGACCGTTTTAATAATATCCAGGATCCTTTACAACTATTAACTGCTCCAATACAAATCTGCCACCTTCAAACATTTGTGTATGAATTCCCCCAAGTCTATCTATTCTTGCTCTATCATTAAAATTGTACCATTTAGATCATTTAGCTTCTATTAAAGCATAATCCAGCAATACTGGAAATCTGTGACAAACACAGAGAATGCTGGAGAAAGACTATAAGACCATAAGAAATAGGAACAGGACTCGGTTGTTCAGCCCCTGGATCCTGCTCCACCATTCAACAGGGCCATGGCTAATCTGACACCCCTCATGTCTGTATTCATGCCCTTTCCCCATAACCCTTGATTCCCCTACTGATCAAGAATCTATATATCTTAGTCTTAAATATATATAATAATTATATATCCAAATATTGTGGATTCTGACCCCACAACTTTCTGTAGCAAGGAGTTCCAAATACACTCAACCCTCTGAGAGAAGAAATTCCTCCTCATCTCAAACTTAAATTGGCATCCTTTTATTTCTGAGGCTGTTCTAAAACTCAAAAGGTCTGGGAGCATCTATGGTGTGAGAAACAGAATTACCATTTTGAGTGCAGAGTGATTCTTCTACTGAACAGTTCTCTGTAATGTTTATCAGGTCACATTTATTCAGCGTGTGCTGTAAAATTTTTTTTTTCAACGCTACATGCATTCAGATACGGAGCCTTTAGTCCAGCTGTTATGTTTGTAATGTCTAGTCTTGAATGTTAATGTATTTTAAAATTTATTCTCTCACTTCCTTCCTACCATTCTGTGACCTTCATTTCTCATATTACTATTTTGCTCTCCTTCTTTGACTCCACCCCTTGATTTGGTTCATCCAACCAAGCTCAATGCCTTACCATCATTGTTTAAATCAATCTATACTTCATTACTTATACGGCTTGCTAAAGCACCAGTTCCAACACAGTTCAGGTGTTGACTGTCCCAGTGGTATAGCCCTCACTTTCCCCAGTAATGGTTATTCTTAGAAAACTGGATGTTCCCATAACTTAACTTGTATGCCTATGTCCTTTGCATGATTAGTGTAAAGCAGAATACTCCTTGTTCTGGAAATTTGAAATAAAACAGAAAATATTGGAAACATGCAACTGGTCATGGAACATTGTGGAAAGAAACACGGAATAAATGTTTCAAGTCAGGGACATTTGATTGTAACTGGGAAAAATTAGAGACCTAATAAATTTTGGGAAATGACTACGTAGGGCAGAAGGGTGATGCTGTTACTCAGACTTGCATTAAGCTTAGCTGGTAGGCTATTCAGAGGGGAGTTGAGAGTAAACCATGCTGCGGTGAATCTGGAGTCATGAATAGATTGCACCAGGTAAACAAGGTAGATTTCCTTCACTGAAGATGAATGTTCGTGGTAATCTAGCAGCTTTAGTGGACCAGTATTTTATTTCAGGATTAGTAATTAATTGAATTTAGGTTTCCCTGGCTCTACTGGTAAGATTTGAACTTGTCTCCAGAGCATTAGACTAGATCTTAAGATTATTTATACCTTACCATTGTGCTGTTCTCCTCTATGGAAATTTGATTAGCTAAAGCAACAGTAAACAAGTAAATACATTGACAAGTATCTGTATATAGCAACCAACTTATGCAATTTAAATGATTGCCAAGGAGACTAGTTTTCAATGATGGGGAAGGGTAGGAGTGTAGAACATAGACTCATTTTCAGTTAGAGAAGAAATGCTCTAACAGAGATTTCATTGTTTATTTCTGTACAGTGAATGCTGTTGGAAATGTGTGTGTGGCAATGTTGGTTGAGGGCGTGTTGAGCTTTGCTGTTCTGTTGAATAGAAGTTCGTGTCTTTGCTGTTTGCTGTCTGGGCTTATCAGCAAAGGATGACTGCTTAGGTGTGGTGACTGGTACTTGTGGAGCCAACTGCCATCAATGGAGGGGAGAGTGTTTGGGGGCAGGGTAGGGGAAGCTGTTAGAAGCCCTAATATCTCCAGAAAGAGTTGTGCTTTAATCAATATTTAAATTCATGATGTATCTCCCGTTTTTTTCATATATCATTCACAGATTTTCCAGATAGTGCCAGAAACTGCCCCAATTCAACCAAATGTAACATTGAGTTCTGCACAGAGGAAGAGTTTTGAATGTAAGCCTCCCTTGTGTAGCCAGAGGCCTTTAATGTTGTTTCCAGCAAATTCAAATGAAAATGGTAAGTATCTACAATCTATGCTGTAAACTCATCAGTATATAACTATTTCAGAGATAGT